GCACAGCAGCCCCTACCTGCGTCTCAGTGTATGCGGCGACCAGACAGCCGCCGCAAAAGAATCTGTCCCAGTATGGCGACCCACCAACCTGGCTCGCAGCAAATCCATCACTAGTCCCTTCAATTTCCCCGCAGAGGCAACCACCCCCTGTGCCTGCCAGCAGAATGACCAGAACTCCACCGCAGTCGTGCGTCTGCGGACCCAGCGGGAGCAACCGCCGCCCGAACGGCCGGCGACGACATTTGGACGGATCACTGATTCCCTGCGCAAATCCATCAATAAGTTTGCGGACAAGTCAGAATGGAAGATGGAGGCAATAAAGGCACAGCATCGGGAGGCAAGAACATTGATCTTGCTGAATGAAACTCAAGCCGAGGTTAGTTCCTCAAGCAGATCCTCTTCTCATCGAGAAATGTGTTCGCGTAGTGAGCAGCCGACTTGGCGTTTTGCTTTTTTTCACTAGTGCTTTAGGCATGGTTGATCAGTTTAGCAGTAAAACTAACTTTTAGAAATGTTTAGATGATTTTATTTATCAGGTATGGCATAGAAATTAAGCGATGCTGAAACCAGCACATTCTAATAGAGGCTCCGCCTAAACCTTGTAATAGAAGCAAAGTGCACGCGAACAGTCTAGGACAAGAGAACAAGCGGGATGACCTGGTTTCAGAAAGTTGTGTGCGGGTATTACGAGCAGTGAGGTCAACTCTTGTGATTATTCCGGGTGGATTTCTGATCTGACCGCGTCCGTTAAATGTTGCTTTTTCTGCTCTGCTTCGGCTGAGAAGGAACCATTATCCGGTCGTTTGGCTACATTTTTTAACATAACCAAGCACCACCTGTAGCAAAGACGACATAAATAGCGTTTATATTGGCTCTCTTTGTGACAATACGCCTAATCCATCTGTGGGACTTTAAATAAGGAGCCAATAAGTTTTTCGCTCAACGATGACCTTAGGCTGTCCGTTGGAATTTGACTTTTTTAGGCTTTCTCGCCATACCGCTAGCTTTGTGGCTTAGATTCACATGGTCTGTCTTGCAGCTACTTCTAATCCCGGAATCGTTTCTAGCGGGAATGGAGATAATAAGCATTTCGGGGGGTGGTGCTTCACTGCGGAAAAGCAGTGGAATTTGTGCAAGAAAACATTTAAAAAGGGTAAATTTTCCCCAAATGCATTTTTCTAGACCCATAAACGAGCAAATAAATTGATGGAAATATTTAAAAAATGTAAAAAAAGTGATTCTCAATAAATAAAATACATTTTAGTAATAAAAACCATAATAAACGGCCTTATATATGACGTTATAGGAATGTTTTATTTGTCAACAAGGGTTCTAATTAATAGTTTTTGAACATCCACTGCTTTCTTTCTCTTGCATTCTAACAGTTACGGAAAGTGGAGGCTCGATGTTCTGGCTTGAAACGTCAAAACGATCAACAGGAGGCTCGAATGACAGTCCGCGGAGAGGAGATTGAACGACTTACGGACACGGAGCGCCAGCTGCGTCGAGAATTACGCAATTGGCAACAGCGAGTATTCGAGCTGGAGGCAGAGGTTTGTTCAAACAACTTAATCTGCCATTAAACTCACTTATCTCCGTGTTAGCGGGCCTCTAGTGTAGCTACATTTACTACATATGCAGCGTCCAATAATGATCCAATTTAGGCGAAGCATTTCAATTCTACATGATCGTCTTGATGAAGCTGCTTGGAAGTTCGTTTTGCGACCATCCTAGGGAGTCTACAAATGCTATTGGTTGCTCTAGTTCTGGATAAATTCTCTAAATCG